CTTAGAACGTGGTGGCGCCATTGTGAAAATAGCCGCCAACCACTTCCGGTTCTCAATTAGACGGCGGGTTTCGCAGTGTATCAAATATACACGCCTTGTTCTAGAAATATCCACGTATCGCACTGTCAGACCTAATTCACTCGCATGATAAAATGAGGAAATATACGTGAACCGGAAGTGGGCCGGGGCTACCCAATAGATGGGGCCACTGAGTTTGTTGTCGAACAAAACAGCATGCTTGCTATGTGACATGCGCGGTGCGAATATTATCTCCGTTATCGGTGTTTTCAAGTCTGGCTTATTCTTTGTACTTATACAGCTTAATGCCTGCAATACTGTAACGTTCCGTTACAGTAATGTAAACCGACCAGCTTACTCTAAGCTGGTCGGTTTGGTTGCGATGTTTATCTGGAGTCCATGCCTACCGCGGAGTCAACCGCCAAAGAATTTTTTTTTTTCGTTTAAAGACCGACGACCAGTTCGCGCTTTCCACTTTTCGCCCGCTTCCTCCTCTCCCTCCTACCCTTTCCACCTATGCCCGCCCCTCTTGGTCCCTTCTTTCCATCCTTCGCTTCCCTCGCCCGAAGGCGTGGAGAGGAGGGTCTTCTGCCTTGCAGAATCTCGAGTCTGGTTGTCGGCCTTTAACGTTTTTTGTTACCTTGTTTTAGGGTCGGCCACTATCAGGCCTATCAGTGTCTCGTTCACTAACCTTTTGCGGAGTTATGTTTTCAATATCTACGACTTGACTGAATTTAGATAATGCACCCGAAACGTTTGTGCCCAGTGAGATATATCAGTATGCGTACTTTCACGCGCGTGAACTTCTCTCAAAGCTCACGTTTAGAATCTACCATAATGCGCTCGTCGCATGCAACGCATGCCGATATAAAGGTTTTCCGTTTTTATCCACAAAATGTGGTCTACGCCGAATAACGGGGCATGCGGCAAGTCGTGCTAAGCGCCCAATCGTAAATATAATTCATGTGTCACGATTCTATCATGGCTCCGTTATTTTGCGGGCCATCCCATGCAGATCGTATAGTGACCACCCCAAAGCATTCCCTGTCTATGTGGTTGGCAGGCGACCGCCAAAAAGTGATATTTGCATGCCTGGCAGTACTCTACGAACCTTCAAAACGTTCGCAGTCACGGCTGTTGTTTTCTTAAAATCAATATTTCGGTAAACTCAAAACCTCTTCCGGAAAATATAAAAAATGTTTCCGACTGTTAAAAAAAAAAAAAAAACGGTCGTTTTTTTTTTATTTTATTTTTTATTTTGTGTGTTCCATCAATGTCGTTTTTCGAGCGCTGGGTTAGCGGGTTTTAAATCTAGGCAGAATTTCCATCGCGCTCGGGAATTCTTTGGAAGTCTACCGAATGGTTACAAGCGCCTTTTATGATCCCCATTGTTATGGCATGACGCCGTCGGGACTTTCCTCTCCCTCGAAGGATGGATCTCTCGATCCATCCTTCCGCGCGGTATGATGACCCGGCCTCGTCGGTGAGCACAGCTCGGCTGCGCGCCCGTGCCCGAAGCGCACTTTGCCTTCCGATGTGCACTCAAAATATGGGCCTCGCCCAAGTTTTTGATTTAGTTTTGCCGCTGCCAGAGATCGACAGCGGGGTCCGGGAGGTCGGAGTGCTGCGCCGATATTTTATGGGGGAGATTTTAAAGTGTCATGATCCGGGAGCGCTAGCTTTGTGTCGTAGCTGTTGGCGCAGTTGGCAACAGTGTTGCAGCACTTTGTTGAGTTTACTTTTAGAAGTTTAATATTTAAAGCTTTTTCTTTTTGCGCGCGCTTACTTCGTTAAAATGTTTATTCGTGGGAGTAAATACATAAGCAAATGATATATCGCCGGGCTATAACGCATCCGGGTGAACATCTGACCTAGATCGGAGATGTGCAGAGGCAGTGCGATTTATTCATTTGCTTTTTTTTTTTTCTTTTATTTGTTTACTTTTGTGGCAGCGTTTCGAGATTTTCCTAGCTCTTTCGTCCGCGCTGGTGTTCATGGTCCGACGGCTGTCGTCGAAAATTCTCGTCCTTGAATGCATGGTTTCCGCGGTCAACTTTTGCGGTACTGGTGAACAATTCAGTCACATTCGAGACTAGGGTAGGAGATGAAAGTAATATGAGAGAAAATATTCGAATTCCAGTCAAGTAAGTCCCGCATAGAGACCTAACCGGATAAGAAGTGTCGGCTACGTATATCTATACTGCCAGCAGTTTTTTTTTTTTTTTTTTCATATTTGGTTTTGAATTCTGGCAAGTCACCCCACCGCCCTCGTTTGCACGGGCACCATATTCGCTCGAGTCTCGTAGCGAACTCGCGCCACAGTCGGACCTCGTTTGAGCTTATCTAGGTGTGTGTAAAGAACCCCTGGAGTGATCCGTTCCTCTGATTTCCGTGCCATCTTTGGCCTTCTCTTGGTTCCATGTTGGCGCAGAATTTTTTTCTGCCTCGGTCTGTGTTTTGGCGTTCACAAGGATTCCATTGTTCGTCGGTCCGCAGATCATTCCGGGCGTGCATTGCGAGAAGTTTTCATTTTCTCATTTTAACAGTGCATCACATTCTCGCAACTGCTCGGTCGCCTCGTGTGCGCTCACAGGTCCCGAAGGCTTCAAGAAAACAAATCGTTTCGTTCACGTACGCGTTTGTATTCGCGTGCCGCGAACTGGAAGTGGTTTGCTTCAAAGTCATAAAGTGTATTAATGCGAGGGAACCGAGAGCTCTTATCTTACACTTTTTCCTTGCCCGCTAAAATAATCGCTCTAAAATGCATGTTGTTTTTCTTCTTTTTCTTTTCTTTTTTTAGGGCTTTTGTTTGTTGGAGTATCGCAATTGCCGTCGACCAAGGAAGGCCTCTTTGCATAAAGAGCAAATGAGGTTATGAACACGATGTCGAAATTTCGAGGCATTATAAAGCACGCCTGCGTGCGCAGTACTGCATCGTGTTGGTTGCTGCGTTAATGCTACGCAATTCGCCTTTGAGGGGCTTAAATGTTTCGTTTATATAGTGTGTACATATTTTTTTCCGTCTAATTGATCCATTCCCCCGGTGTGGGCGAGTGGTCGATACGTAATTGGTCTAGTCTTGTTCGAACGTTCCCCTTCCTTGTTTCATATCTGTTAAGTTCCTTTTTTTTTTTTTTTTTTTTACGAGTTCGATGAGAGAAACAGCAAATATTACGAAGAATTATTCCCATTTAAGAGCATATCTTTTCGCATACTTACATGCCCGACTACGCGCAGGTTCTTCCACTGCCAAATTATGAGAAGTAAGAAAACAGCCGAAGCTAGTAGCTGTAATAAAATAATAAACATAAATTGATTTATTATTAATTCGGAGAGTGTATAGTCAATTCGAATAAGCTACGCATTATGACCGTTTGTACAAAGAAAAAAAAACGATAAAAAAACGCCATAGCGAGATTCTAAATAAACGTACGTGGTTCATCACTACAAAACATGCGAAGAAGCATTCACCGACTTATATACGGAAGGAGCCTGGTGAATGGAAAGGTCAGTACGTTCTCACCCAAACGCCCGTCAGGTAATGGCATTGCGTATGCTCAACGTCCCAAAGCTGTTGGCTTTTTTTTTTTGTTTAGATCAAAATTGAGGTAGGCCACATGATTACCACTGTGTAGATTATGCAACCACTGTATCACCTAGTAACAGCGATGAGAAACTAGTCGCGAAGCTCAGAACATGGGCGTAGTTAATTTCACCGTGCATTTCTCGAACCACCTGCGAACACTTGCCACATGCACGGGCCAATGGAGCCGCACTACGGGCGGATCCATTCTGCCGCCATGAGTGTCTTTTGAGCAACTTCTATGTGTCTCAGGGCTGCGCGTGCTAATTGTTTACGTCAACTGCTCGCCATTTTGGTCAAGTGAGAGTGTGCTATATCTTCTCCTCCTGGATCACACTTCCTTTCGTTTCTGAAAATTAGTATTGGCATTAGTCGGAAGCTCTATTGAAACTTTTACAATTTCTATCTTCTTTTTTTTTCTTTATGGCAACCTGGAGATGTTCTTCCCTCTTTTCGGCACCTGAACAGCTGTAATTATTGCAATCAGAAAATTTGCGCAGCCGCATGTGAAGTGACGTATTTGGAGTGGTGAAGAGACAATGTATTTGACTTCTTATTGTTTTCCCGAACGCTAGAGAGCAACGGAAGCAGCGGTCACAGGGCCTTTCCGTCACATTCCCACTGCCGCACGTGCGCACGCCTCAACCTAATTCCGCAGTTGTTGTTGTTGTTGTTTTTTTTTTCTGCATAGCTTTTACCCGCCAGTGAAACAGGATGCCAACAAAAACGAAGGCCTTTTAGTAGCCAAACGAAACCCCGGCGTAGCATGGCGTGACCACCGAAACCTTTGCGTTGTCACCAAACGACACCCTCAAATACAGGCATGCAACTTCTTTGTGAAGTCTGTTTTGCTATATGTTGGTAACAAGTTATTAGGCACACCACAAAACAAAAAGCTTTTGTTATGTCATCAAATACGAAGACGATACAACACCATCTTTCATGAGAGGTGTGGTTGTTTCGTCTTCGTCTTACATGTTTATCCTTTCTTGAAATCTTTCATTTTAATGCTTCTTAAAATACAAAACTGAGACAGACGAGCTCGTCATGTCCTTATGCTCTATTTTGCGGACTTCCCAGACTCAATCGCAAGCCTGTGTGCTCGGATTGACCACGTTGGAAGTTAAGAGACGCCCCCCCCCCCTCCCCCCCCCCTCCCTTCCCCGCACGCATACACGCGCACGCACACGCATACACATATATATACACACGCAAAAAAAGCCTATTGACGGTGAAGTTGACCAGGCTCCCATCCTTCGCTGATGAGAATCACCAGAAGGTGGAACGGAACGATATATCGTCTGCCATCATAACACTTGGGTGTGCTTTGTAATGTGACGGCGTGATGCAAAGGTTGGCCTTGTTGCCGAGTCTCGACTGGGTTCGTCTTTTCCTCCAGAACAGCGTTGTGCAGTGCGGACGAGAGACCTGTCCTCTGCCAAGGGGCTGCTACTTCCTTCAGCAGGCCAAGGGAAACAAGTGCTGCGACGTTTGCAAAGGTGATTACACGCACTCCGAGAAAACGGGCACTTCTCGGCGAGGTACTTGAGCGCGACGTTCGTGCACGGGCGTCGTCATTTGCCAGGCTCGGCGTGCCAACGAAACCGGCGTGGCGCACAAACCGGTGACCCCCGCTTTCCTTCCACGGGGCCATGTTTGCAGACGCTAACTACTTTGCCTTTTTTTTCTTAGCTCGGTAAACTAAGTGATTGTGCGTCGTTTCGCTTATTCGGCAAAAAAAAAAAAAAAAAAAAAAAATCCTGAAGGTCTGTGTGTTGTTTCGTCATTTTTTGAGCGTGTAGATGAAACGAAGGACACAAGTTCTTTTTGTACGTTCTTTGGCGCTATCCTATTCGATTTCCTTTCGCGCAAAAAAAATACCTAAAATTAAACTCATAAACATTTTATCTTTCCGGTTTTGTATGAACATGATACTCGTGAAATGTACAGACTTAAAGCGTCAAATAACACCAATTATAGCGTTGTATTGGGGTTAACGTCTGTGCAGCACGCAGCAGGGAATTTGAGGTTTAGGAAGACGCAGTAGATTTTATTCCTTATGTTAGTAACTATGTTCAGTACCGGCTTCGCAGCAACCGAGTCGTGACTTGCATTCCTGCTCCCGACGGTTTTATGCTGGATGGACATAGTACCGAATCTGCTTTCGTCCACTGTGACACCATTATTAATGATGCACTCGAGGCCCCCCATGTACAACACTGGCCAAATATCCCCGTGTATACTGCGGCGGAACAGGGCGTCCTAGATCTCGAGGAGGAGTTCCTTCTCGCTGCATAAACATCTGCTCGACTAAAATTCTAAAGCAGTTGACGAAATCAAGATTGACCGTGGGGGCGCTATAGACGCTTGCAAGTATCACCTCTGGGTGCCCCCATCTTGCTACAAGCGTGTGTAGATGGTCTGATCGTCTAGCCTTGCTTGGCCAACAGACCATCTACGCCCCAAAATTGCCAGAGTGACGCCCAAACAAGCATATTCGGCCAGACGACCTTTTCAAGCGCGATTATGCATGCAAACGTCGATACTCAAACATCGCTTGGAGAGTCGTCTTTTTGTAAATCGTATTGATATGGTTTTTGTTTCTTTTTTTTTTTCGCATGCGTGTTTTTATAATGTGTTACTTTTACATTGTAAAAATGGTACTTCGTCGCAAGCAGGATGTAGGAAGAACCACAAGCACTCCTCAATCACGTCATCTTATTGAGCAGTGCTTGTGCAGAACTTCTGCGGAACTTCTGCATAACTTCTGTCCTTGGCGTTGTGGACGCCTGGCTAAGATGAGGTGGCGTTTCTTCGTGTGCGCAGGGTGTGTCTACAACGGCAGAGTGTACAGCAGCTCGGAGGAATGGACCGATCCCCACGATCCGTGCCGGAGGTTTCTCTGCCAGGTGAACATTTCAACATTTGGTTGTTGTTTTTTCGCGTATGTGGCACGCTCGTGTATAGGATACCGCGGGCTCGGCGAACATTTCCTGATGAGGCCCACTTCCGCTTTACATCCGCCTCGCTCTTTTAAACTGAATCCAGTATTCATCCCTATTCAAAAGCAGTTATCGTCTTTTTCAGCATACGTTTCATGATATGCGTTCTTTGCAGGTATACCAGTGCCCCAGTCGACAGAATTCATCAAGTAACCAAAACCGCGCGCGTGTCCTATAAACCTTCGGTGACAGTTCTTGTTCAAATGTTTCGTCACCCCGCGATTCCCGGTCATGCGCCCTGACGACAGGACAGCGAGTTTAGGACCCGTGCGCGAATCGGATAACAAAAATATTTACTTCTCTTATTGAATTTTCATCGAGGATCTTAGCGCGCGTTCTTCCACGACTTTGGCACAAGTTTCGGGGGTATACCTCCCTTTCCTCTCGAGCTTCTTGGCGCCTCCCTCATTTGCGTTGCTCCTCCGACGCACTAACGTCATTATCCGTGCAAAGCACGTTCGAAGGCAACGCATCGGCCTGTCGAAAACATTCCTCGCGCTCCTGGAACGTCGGGAGAAAGAGACAGTATGTTGGGTTCCTTGGAATGCGCGCTCTGTGGAGCGCGCTGGAATCTCTGCGCGCAGATCTACCCCCATGGGGATGGTCCACCTGGAAGCCTATCGAGGGAGACGATCGAGTCGGCGAGAGAGGCCGCGGGGGGAAGGGGAGCAGCGGTGCTCGCTCGCACCCTGTATCGCGTCGTATCTCCGTTTCATTGCCCTAATTGCCGCATTATATGGGCTTTTTAAGCGGCCAATCCCGATAGAAAAGTGGTGCGCTGGAAGCGTGCGTCCCAGGAGCCTCCGTCGGTCGAGGAGCGCGCACTCGATCGGCACGGTCGGAACGAGCGGGAGGCTGGCAAATTGAAGAACACATAAGAGGACGACGAAGAGGCGGAAAACGGGCTGGGTGCGGGTGCTGGGGCATTGTCTTCCTTTTGGGGCACTTGCCCAAAGCGGGGACTGCGAAAGAGTCTGATGCCAAGCAGCAAAGTCCGCATCGAAGTGGTGCGCGGTTGAACAGCTCTTATGGTCGGCAACTTTTGGATCGCTTGGAGACACTCACGCAGGGCCCAGGGCCGTCTTTCTAAGTCACTTGAAGAAGAAACGCGGGGCCTGGTTTATTAGAGAGTTTTAGCATTGTGCATAGAAACAAATGCAAGCGCAGTGTGTTTGCGTTGCGTGCTCCACGCTGCGCATGCACGTCGTTACCATGCGCCCATTCAAAAGTGCAGTTTGGGCTCCGTACAGTGTGAAAGACGCACCACTAACGCAAACGCACAGTTCTTGCGTTTGCTCGTATACGCAATACAAGAGAGAGCTTTAGAATAGCGTAGAGACCATTGCGGTAGCGCTGTGTGCGATGTACGCAAGCTTTTAGCGGAAACGCTACAGAGCGCGTCAAAACAGCGCTCCTAGTAAAGCGGAACGCAGACGCAGACGCAATAGGGTGCCTCGATGCAAGCGCCATCTTCCAGGGTGGAGACACTCATTGACCCCCGTCATTGGGTCAATCTGACATGGCAGGAACACTTCGAGTCCTACTTCTTTGGGGTGTGCGAATGTATTTAACTACATTGACCCAAGAAAGCGCCGACAAGAGCAGCTGAACGTTTGACCCAATACGGCGGCTGTCCCCACCCTGGACGCGGCACATGGTATGTGGGCACCCTAATACGCAGGCAGTCGCACCACCATCTAGAATGTGCCCATGCAAACTGCTCCAAGCAATCTAAGGCCGGTATTTGGTCAAACCAATCTGAGTCTCGCGCTGTCCCGCGTGCGGCGAGAGCAACGAGACGGGAACGCAGGGGACCGCTGCGTATGCACGCAAAATCGATGGCGAGCGAGCGTCCGTAACGCTCGTGGCTTTGCTTACGTATGGAGCATGCGGAGTGTGGAGCACGCAACGCAAACGCAGAGCGCTTGCGTTTGCTCCTTTCTACTCAAACTCACTATTATATTCACGTTTCGTGCATTTCATCAATGTTTTTATCGACTCGCAATATTGTTGACCGAGGAGAAATAATAATATGCTCAGGACTGGCCGCACCCTGTGTCTCTTAAACTGGCAGTGAGTATGGAAACCTTAGCCAAGACAGCGTGAAGTAAAGCCTGCCAAGCCGCATGAGTGCTTGAGACTCGACGTCACGTGCCACTCTGCTCGTATATTGCAGCGCTTTCTGTCACGCAGTCTTATTTGAGACTGCTTTTAGTAAACTGGCCCAGGGTTGGCTTTCTATAAGTGACTTCAACTTGCTCGAAACAACAGCGTCTCTGCTAATACTATGGGTTTGCCAAGCCTGGGGAGAGCGAGCAATAGAGACCTATCGACGATACCACTCTGCTCGTGCGCTAGAATTCGCTGTGCTTCCTTTCATATGGTCTAGACTCTGCTTCTAGCAAGCCGGCCCATGTGTACCTTTGTTCGTCTGGTTTGGAGAGCTCGAGAGATTAATCGCCAATATTCATTCCAATAGCTACAACCACAGCCTCCTCTATACTCACAAAGCCTAGCAGTTCGACGATGGAGGCATAGAGTGCCCTATCGCAGATTTGGAGCGCGAGGTTCTGGTAGCACAGAGCATCGAAGAGCCATTTCTCGGGGAACCTGGGAGTCACTGCACAGTTTTTGTAGCGGCGAGGACCCGAAACACACTTTCGGGTCCTCGCGTCTCGCCTGAGAGTCTCGCGGCTGCGGTGAGGCGCTGCGTTTCGGCGTCTCGCCGCAGCAGGGCGCCAGTCACGTGGCTCTTCTCTCATTCGTTGTGTGCCGCTCCACCTTTTCCATTTCGGCGGCCGCTTCTCGTGACGATCTGCCAGGCTTTGTCAGTGCTATGCTACAGAGTTGACCGCGTCAGCGAATAGGCATTCTGGCTTCTTGAGGGCCCCTCGGTTTCAGGCCGTTTGCGGACTAGTTGAAAATTCGACACCTTGACGCAGTGTGGGCGTACAATTAACCAAACGACACGGCAGCGTTTTCTGACGTTGATGGGCAGCCCCCACGACTAATAAACATAAAAAGAGTTCCTCCAGGATACTAGTTACATGCCAAGACACGATCCAATCGCCTTGAGAACGGCGAACTTCCTTGTTTCATTTTGTCGTTTTACGTATACGCGTGCATATAGTCGGGTATAGCAAGGTGGAAACAATTATCTGAATTTGGCTGGTTCGGCTCTCGCTTTATCCGCGAAGGTAACTGCGATGTTGATAGAGCCTTTTTTTGTTCTTGCAGCGAGCGAGCGATTATTGATTATAAACTTCGCACCTTGCCCACTCATAAAGGCGTGGACGATCTTGAGCGAATTGATTGCCTCACTTTAATCGCCTTCGCGTGTCACAAGCGTGTCGCATGAACTTCATTGCGTTGCTGAGAGAGATTGGGCGCTTTGATGGATAGCTTGCTTTGTGTAACCGAGAGGACATGCGGAACGAATCGCTCCTTGAGCGGTTGCCGATTGAAGTGGTTGATGGGCAGGCCTGTTTGGAACGAAAAAGGGTTTTCTGTTGCGGTGCACCGAGCACTGTTCGAAAGTCTGGTGTAAGGCTCACTTACTTGTGAAGCTATACAATTAGCTCTCTATAACGTTTTTTTTTTATTATTATTATTTTTTTTTTTTTTTTGAGACCGGCTCAGAGAAAGTAAGCTGCATGCTACGGCTAGAAATGAGCAAAACATGATTGCGGTGCAGCTTTCATGGTTGCGCTTAAAGCGCGATCATATTTTCTCACGTACTATACCAATTCACCTTACAATCAGCACTTGTCAATCTAAAAATGAGCTCTATTTTATTATTGAACTGACCAGCCAACCTTTCCTTCTTGTCGGAAAGATCAACCAAGGCAGTTGAAAAGCTGAAACATCTTTCCGTTTTCGCTTAGCGGAAGTCTTACTGGAAATCACTAGACTTTATCGATGTTTGCTTCTGGTTAGATTGCGACTCTTGGTTTGCGGCACTGCAGTGTGTTTCTTTGGTACTTGTCATTGTTACTTCCGCTAGGATCCCCTGGTAAGATCAGCACGTTCATTTAACGAAATAAATAAAAGACTCCACGCTTACGTTTTCCGTTCCTTAGCGGCACCGCTATATACCGAATATCCGAGATTACTTCGCAGTCTGCCGGGGGTACACATTCTGTGTACTCCAAAACAAGTCAGCATGACCCCTCCCCCGCCCTTCTCGTTTGCCCCCCGGACCTTGCGTCGCTCTGCCCTCCATCTCCTGCCTTCTTCGCCTGTTGGCGTGGCGAACTTTTCTTAAGGCACGTTTACCAGTCAAAGCCAGACGACGTATAGCCCAAGAATGTGGCAGTGATTCTCGAGCCCGCTTATCTCCGAAAAATAAACACTGGGCCACTCGAGGGTAAGCCGCGGACAGGCAGACGTTGGTGGACTCGCTCCTTGAATGGCTTTCGTCTGGGACGCTGCTTTGGCGGAGTCCTCTTGAGAGTGACAAATGGCTGGGTGCATGTCCTTCTACAAGATTGTGCTCTGAAAGCCTGTGGCAGCGCGCGCCCGGCTGCCCTCCCATTGCGGGCACGGCTCGGCGCAGCAGGTGAGGCGTCCGCCGAAACAGATAAGAGCCCCAGCAGTTGACTCGGCCGCCCCCGGCCCGCCCGAATCGGCACGAGGAGCCGCTCGCGAGATTCGCGGGTCTAATTGAATTTGGGCCATTACGAGCTCCGTTTAGATACGCCGCGCGTGTACAAGTCCGCGTCTGTTTGATACGCGTTCCCGAGTCATCGTATGCTAAGGATCGCACACGTTTTGGGGCCTTCAGGGAACCTCAAAGCGGGAGAGGTGGTCGACGTCTCGATAAGACACCCAGCTTCTTTATGGTTCAGTCGCGAGGTGTGCTGAAGCGTTTCCGCAGTTTCGTCTGCGAGTCCCTTCGATTCAGGCTCTGTTGTACCCCTGTGCGGTCCTTAGGCTTCTTCTCTCTCTATATATATACTGTATATACGTATCTATATTTTTCTTGACTAGATTGCAGACTTGAACAAAATGTTCTTTCATTCTTTTTTTTTTTTGTAAGATTTCCGGATATCGCGGAATAGTGCTTTTACTGGGTGGTCGGGGAGACGTCCCGATCACCTGCCAGTTTGCATGGCGAGCACTAAAAGGGGTGTGCGAATATATACTCCAAATCGAATAGCCATGCCTCATCCCTAGCTTCAACGTTGCAAGGAGTGCCGGCTGTCGTGTGTTTCTCTGGCACTGTGGAGGCTATGAATGGCGCAAAGGCTATTTCATTCGAACCGCTATTCGCGCACCCGTACTAACTAGCGAAGCTCGTGTGTTTGAATTATCATTCCTGGTGTCGTTTCTTGTTGCAGTCTGGCGTCATCACCGAGTCCCGCATCTATTGCCACATCAACTGTAAAAATCCTCGGCCACCTCCGGACGGGCAGTGCTGTCCTTACTGCGATGGCAAGTTGCACTCTCTCTCCGCTTTCTTCCTCGACGCTGTAGCGCTCGATTGGGCGACAAAAGGCGACGGCGATCTTCATGTAACGCCACCGCCGCAATCGAATTGGGAAACTCGTAGGGTTTGTGAACAGACGAAAGAAAATAGAAGGAAACGAAACACTCGTTCAGACAACTCTCGCGTGTCAAGGTGTTTCAAAACGCCGTCGGGATTTCTTTGAATTGGACGGTCGTATATCTCTATTCCTTCGGGCGAGTGTAGATGTCCATTTTGCTGTCCTCCGCGACTACAGCAGAAAACGGTAGCGGGAACCCATACCTGTCTGCGCACAAGCACGCTGCTTGGTATACTTTGGAGTGGAACGTCATGCCCAATGTCCCTTCGCGCATCGCACATTGTTTTGTCTAATCATATTCTGAGTTGCGTCATTCGCCTCACAAACTCACAAACTTCTTTCTTTTCTTTTTTGGAATGCGTGACATTAAAGCCTAATTGAAAGCTGAAAGGCCGTGCCGGAGGCTGTAGACAGTTCAAAAGCCACTTGGGTCGTCGTAAAACGCTGGCGGTGACAATGTCGAATTGCGTGCCTCGACCTTCGCGACGGCGTACACCTCCGAGAGACACACGTGGACGCCGTGCGGAAAGCGGGTGCCGTGGGGACATGTGTTGCTCGGATTTACGTCACTAAGGAGCGTGATTCGGCCGATCCGGTTGCATTCGGTCGGCCGACATGCGACGCCAGTGGCCAAGCCGATCGCCTCTGGCCCCATGGCGGCGATTTCGGTCGTGCCTCTCTCCGTGCGCAGTGGCTGCCTCTCCGCGTTATCTGCGCAGATTTATTGGCCAGGGCTGCGCGAACGCCATTGGAATGGCCCAGGGACGCGGCGGGTGCTCGCCACGTGGCGGCGGCGTGCCCGGCGAGGCCTCCTCCGAGCCAACGGCTACTCCCGGTCGCCTGGCGCCGGCCTGAGGTGTCTCGCCGGACGTGTTGACGGTAACGCGGTAGAAGGAACGACGCTACCGGTAACGCGTCACTTTTTTCCGCTAACGGTGTAACGTACTCGGTACTTTTTGAAAACAGTAACGGGTAACATATTTAGGTTACTCGTTACTTCTTCCAAATACTTAACAAAAATTTTTTTTTAGGCACCAAGTTATGTAAATTTTTGAGTTTTTGTTTTTCTTTGGGTTTTCTCGTGAGTATTTAGGTGAAACCGTAAAAAAGATAGGGTAATTATATTTAGTTTCTGCGTGAACATCACGTTTCTTGAAATATGGCGCTTATTATGCACATCTGTGCCGTCGAAACAGTAAAACGTGTTAATTCGTAATTAAAAAAAAAGTAACACATAAGTAACGTGCGTTACTTTTTTATAGCGGTAGCGCGTTCCTTTTATTTTGGAGGTAACGTAGGCCGGTAACACGTTCCTTTAATGTGCAAGGGACGAGTAACGTATTTCGTTATTTTTTTTTTCGCTAACGCGTACAACACTGCTTGCCGGTCGACGAGTCGATCGAGATTTTCGCCGAGCTATAGTGGCCTGTCTGCGAAAATCGCTCGAGTATGTTTTAATCGTTCGTGAAAGGAAAAAAGCAAAGTCAAACCCCGCTGTTTGTGCGCTAGCATCGGTGACACCTTTTCCTTCCCTCTGTCGTGCGTGTGTGAGCGCAAGAGTATACGCGTGCGTGTGTGTCCAGATAAAAAGTTGTTCCCGCTCGAAACGTCTCGAGAAGGACCGCTCATCACCGGGTCTGCAAATCGGGACCACTATATCGTGACGTAGTTGTCCCGAAACTGATGCGAAACCGTAGATATTAAAGGTGGAGAAGAGTTGAGAAAGGATTGAAAATGACACGTATCCCTGTCATTTTCTTTTTACTACTCTATGTTTTTTTGTTTCCTTCGCGTCTTATGTACGGCCTAGCTTAACAAACTGAGCAGAACAACAGACACTATTCGAAAACGTGCACTCTAAAAAAAAAAAAAAACATGCGTCTACTTTTTTGTACAACACTCAGAGAGCCAATCACCGCAACTTACGGGGTGCAGCTCAGCGAACTGTGAAAAAAACCTCAAATTATTTATAAGTCCGATGTTACATAACTTAACGCAATTTAGACGTGTTTAGAACATAACTGTTCTTGTCTAAAATAGACGGTTTTGCCAAAGACGGCTAACAGGATGAAACCAAAGCAAGGGTTTGAGCATATGCGTTCGTTTCTTAAAATAAAATGTTTTGCTTCCAATTTATCTAATAAATATTACAAATACCATCGATGCCAAATGCGTTGACTCATTATCGATTCGGGAGTACAATAATCCTACGCAAGAGTGCTCACCCTTTTAAAGATGTATTTAAAACCGAGCAAAGTAGTTGCGACGCACTAAGACAAAGTCGCGCCTGCAGTGAAAAACGACGCACGTTAATTAAACAAATCCCGTTATTTCAAGAACCTTGAAAAAGACGAAGTTCTGCTTTGAACGTGGGTCATTATGCAATCGGCTCTCCAATCGCGTGCAATCAGGAAGCTGCCTCACCCCCCCCCCCCCCCCCCCCCCCCCCTCCCTCAGACGCACACGCACCTTTCCTCTCCACCCAACTGCAATGAAATTTTGAAACAACCTCGAAAGTGGGGAATCCCGAATAAACTAGCCTGCCGCCACGTGCAAACCTCGGATGTTTGTCACGCTAGTTGAAGTATAGGTTATAACAGCCCCCTCCGGGAACTAGTAGTACTCCCCGCGAGCACTGGATTGGCCTCGATCAGCGGTAGGGCGCATCGTTATATTCACCTGACGTATAGTCACTGGAAGGATGAGAACGGCGGGGTGTTTCTTTCGGATGCCCGACCTTCAGCACGCGCTCGTTGCCTTCCGTGGTGCGTCGGTAGCGCGTGAACCCTCGAGATTCACGAGACGCCGGAGCTTTGTCAAAGGTGGGAAGCACGCTCTGGAGGCCGGACAACTGAAAGACCTCCCTGCCGTTCTCACTCTGTCAGTGTGCACATGTCGTTCTTAATGCCCAACTTTCCATGGAGCGAATACCCGGTGAATAACCAACGAACTTGGCCCAGCAGCACGTTCCATTTGCGCCCGCGGCGCAACATGGCACTGATGACTGTTCTGACGCTGTATGCGCAGAGCGAAAGCCGGCGGGCGACTGTTTTTTTTTTTTTTTTTTTACAGCGGAGCTGTTAAGATCTAGTTTCCCCAGGATCGTGTCCGCCGCAATGAAATGAAGACACCGAACTCTGGACACCTACCGCCATCTATGAGCGACGGCGGCAAGCCACGTATCTGGTTGCCGCCGTCGCCCATAGATGGCGGCAGCCTTTCAACTCTGGCTTGCCGACTTCCGGCCGGCCATTACTTTCCATTGTACAGCTCCGCTGATCTTCCTTCTTCACCAGAGTGGAAAGGCTGAAAGTTTCTTTTTCTTTTTTTCGCTCCATGGAGTCTAGCTGTCATTAAATTGTTCGTTGAGTCATTTACGACTCGCTTGGAAGAAGCATGCTGACCGAGTTAGTTCGCGTTGCGGTACTCGAAGGCGGCCAGGGGCAGCCGGTGAGCTTGCCCGTGGCGGCGGCCCCAGCAGCCCCGTCGTCAGGTTTGTAGGACCGACACTCGTGGTGCACGCACGAAGCTGAAATTTGAATGGCTTGGCGCGCCGTCCAGCCACCCTCGACGAAGAGCGAGCGAGACGCCCGCTGGGCTGGCCCCTTCCTCCTTCCTCGTCGCTATTCCACGTTCTGCCGTCCGTCCAGGAAGCTGCTTTCATATATCGGCCGATTAACACATCAGTAATGCACCGCGGCAGAATTTAATTTGCCTTCCAGGCGGCGTCACTGTTTTCTTGTTTTTCTTCTACTTTTATGTTTTTTGTTAGTTCGTTCCTGTCTGGGGCGCCGGGGGGAGGGCAGGCAGTTCCATGATCCGCCCGTCGGATCGCTTGCTTATGTGCGGCGCCGACCCTTCTATTTCGCCAGGGTCAAAGCAATTCTTCGGCCGATTTGAGCGCGGCCTCGAGCAAGTTTCACGCGCATCCCATTGTCTGCCCTCGACTGCTCGCTGGGCGGTGTACAACTGGCCGCTTTTCTGTGCGCCTCAAAACGGGGGGGGGGGGAGGAGGAGGAGGAGGAGGAGGAGGAGGAGGAGGAGGGAGGGAGGGTGGGAGGGAGGAGAGGGGAGGGGGTTTTTTGACGCCAGAGCAGCAGCCCCGAACACTAAAACTCAATCCATGTCCCTTTTTTTTTTCTGGGGGGGTGGGGGGGGGGGGGGGGGGGGGCGGGAGAGGGAGATTTGGACAGAGAGAGAGAAAGAAAGAGACAAAGAAAGAAGCTGTATCGCAGCGCCACAAATAATTTGCCAGCTAGGTCTAAGGGTTATCACAGACTATCACAGACACCTATAACCCTGCTAGTGTTGAGCGAAAGCATCGGATCCTACGGATCAGTGACTTAGTCAGGGGAGGCGCAGATTTCAACCCCCCCCCCCCTTCCCCCCGAAAAATATTCCTGGCTACGCCAGCTGCTACGAACAATTCATTTTAATACAGCTCATTTTTGCACGCAGCCTCAGCTTAGAAGCAATGAAGTCAACCAGCGTTTAATGTCGGCCTACTACATTATAAAAGGAGAAAAAAGAAAATTGTGATGAAAAAAAGATAAAAAAGCGAGGGAGATGGAGATTATAACGCAGTTTAAACACAATTAAAAAGGCAGACGCAAACACAAACAGACTGTGCCGTTGCTGCAAGTCGCTACAGTGGTCAGACCAGCCCACCTCCTAAACAGTGGCACCAGTTAGTTCACCCTTAACTGCAGTTATGCTTCACCACAGTTACCGCACAATAATCTCGGACACCTTTTTCACGAGTGAAGAGTGCACGTGCACAGCTCTGATGGGCGCTCAAGATGCGCAGCGCGCGTGTGCCCAAAGAAAGTGGTCCAAAGGTATAAGGTGATAACTGTAGTTAGGCCTAACTGTAGCTACGTTTGCTTA